GGGTTCGAATCCTGCATAGGCAAACTAATTAATTCTCGAATTTCTATTATAATTGTTATAAATACAATATACTCCGTAATACATTATTAAGTTCTCTCATCACATTTAAAGTCACTTATAAGTCATTATTCACTAATTCATAAATTAATAGAATAAAATTTAATTTAAATCTAAACAAAAAATGAAAGTGCATTTATCGCTCATCGCAAAGCATTCACATTGGATCTAAAATGGTGGATATCACAGTGCATCTCCAAAGAAAATGGCTAAAAATGATTTATTAAAAATAGAGAAAAAATGTAATATATTTTATTTTTATTTTTGAAATTTATGAAGATAATTTCAAAATCTTACATTCAATATTGGTTTTTGTTGGATATCTTGAGATTCTTGACTAGAGATTTTCTATTGCATATTATTTGTCAAAAATGGACTTGTGTATAAAAAGCTTGATGCACAGTACATGATAATAAATAAATAAAATGAAATTATTATTTTAGTATAATCATTAGTAAGAAGCCCTCATTACTCATTTGCTTAAAAAAAGGAGCACGACTGTTATGTACAAGTAGTTCGTATTTCAAAAATACTAAAATGCCCTTATGAACTAATCTATCCCTACATTGACGCACTATTATTATTACTTCCCTTTTTTATTGTTTTTGAATTGCCACATCCATACTAAATAATAGCCATCGAATACATTTAATCCAAGGGATGTGATTCATTCTTATTTCTTTCATTGAGCTCTATTATCATTGGAACTGCTCCCTATATATATATATATATATATATATATATATATATATATATATATATATATATATATATATATATATATATATATATATATATATATATATATATATCTGTGTGTGTGTGTAAACCACTAGTTCAACCAGTGAACCAGTACCTGGACCGGTTCAGTCTCCGGCCCGGTTTTTAAAACTATGCCTTTTAACTTCCCTTGTATAAGCTATAAAAAAAATTAAAAATTTAATAAATACTAATCATGAGAATCGTAAAAAATACTAATAATGGGAAGGATTAAGTTATGTGTACCCCAACATTTATACCCCAATTTACACCCCGCAAGTTTGCATTAATATTTTGTGTTGGTGTAAAACTAATTTTTATTAATGTACCAACACTTTGTGTCCATGTAAATTTTTGTTAACGCACCAATATTTGTGTCGGTGTAAACTTTTAAAATGTTTGTGCATAACTGTGGTTTACAAATGATGTACATTTTTTTGTGTAGGTGAGGCATAGTCCTAATGAGAATTGCTTTGAACACTACACTCCACTAACGCGCATCCTTTGATGATGATGATGATGATGATGATGACGACGACGATGATGATGATGACGACGATGATGACGATGATGATGATGATGATGACGATGATGATGAGGGTGTTGCTAAATTTACCTCCAAAATTGCTATATCCACACTTTTTGCTAATATTTGCTATATCCACACCCATTAATATAAAATTTATATTGGTGTGGATTTAGCAAATTTATGTGAAAAGGGTGGATATAACTATTTTTGGGGTAGATTTAGCATCACCATAATAATAATAATAATAATAATAATAATAATAATAATAATAATAATAATAATAATAATAATAATAATAATAATAATAATAATAATAATAATAATAATAATAGTAATAATAATAATAACACGTATAATAATTAAAAGTAAATATAAAAAACTGTGAAATGAATAACTGCTCAAATAACACGATCTTCCTTTACACGGGAAATAAGGGACAAAAAATAAATATTTTTTCCATCACAAAATGTTTGCCACATTTGGTTTTTTGATAGTCACAAAAACGTTTATTTATTTGTACATTTTTCATTAGTTATTTGATAAAATAAAATAATCTTGATATCTTTTATTTTGAAAAACTTTTCACGTAGTTTTTTAAATATATAAATTAAATTTTTTATTTTTATATCATTATTTAAATAAAATTAATTGAAAAATCTAGATGTTTTACCTTGTTTTTAGAAATGTGACAAACATTTAAAGACGGAAGTATAGTACTGTAATACTCCCTCCGTCCTAAAACCATCTTCCCACTTCCCTTTTTTTCCCGTCCTAAAAATACCTTCCCAAACCCAAAAAGGGGCAGTGTAAAGACAAATATACCCCCTCTCATTTACGTCACAACTACCTTTCTCTATTTTCTTAAACCCTAGATCTATCCCTGTCTCTCCTTATCCGCCTCTCTCCGCCTCTCTCAATGAAGATTCCGTTTCTTGGAGATTCCGACGTAGGGGGAGTGGTGCCCAGAGCGCTGGCGCCGGCGGCCGATCCCGTTTCACCGCCTCTCTCCGCCTCTCTCAATGGAGATTCCGTTTCTTGGAGATTCCGCCTCTCTCAATGGAGATTCCGTTTCTTGGAGCGCTGGCGCCGACGGCCGATTCCGCTTAATAGAAGCAGCTGCGGACTGCCCAGAGCGCCGGCGGCCGATCTGCTCAGAGCGCTGGCGCCGGCGGCCGATCCTTCACCATCGCGTGGTGGAACTGCCCGATCTGGTCCCGGAAAATCACTCCGATGGAGGATTGCTTCGAATCCAGCGATGTGGTGGTCGACGCCAGAACAGTAGATCCGCCACGCTGTGGCGGTGGCCGGAGTTGTCGAAGGTTGACGCGCCGATCTTGGTGCCAAGAACGTGGTGCAGGTTGATTCGGGCTTCCAGCAAACCGTCCAATTTCCTTACATTTTTACAAAGGGCAAAATGGGAAGTCAAAGGTTAAAATATAAACTCCTTAAAAATGGGAAAAAGTCAATGTGGGAAGGTTAAATTAGGACGGAGAGAGTATTTTATACGGAGTAAATAATAATGGCAACTACATCTAATGCATCTAATGCTACAAATGCATAACCCCGGCGCCATCAACTTCCTAGGAGTATTATAAATTGAAGCTATAAGCCGTGAAGGACTAAGTTCATCACAAATCACAAATATTCGTACTTAGTTTCTGCCATCAACACTTGAAAAGGCGCTAAAATGTAGAGCTAGTAAATTGGTCGATAAGATTGAGTTTGGATTGAGTACTGTATATTGATGACCCATTGTTATCGGGTTTGAATCGACTCAACGAGTTTTGACTTTAGTTTTTTAAATTTTTAAATTCACATAACACTTACATTGTCTATTAAATAAATTTAAAATATAAAAAAATATGTATTAAATCTATTAGGTTAGTCTATTTTAAATGTTGAATTTTTTTAGATATATAAATCAATATAAGGAATCTAAAAAATGTTTAAGTTTTATAAAAAAGTAAGATAATTATGCAATATCATTAAAATTATGTCTAAAAATATAAATTTATAAATTAAAAACAACTAGTAAAGTGTATGATTTTAAAAAACTCTTACATTAGCGGGTTGGTCAGGTCGGGTTTGACTCATTTTTAACTGGTCATTTCGGGTTTGGCCAACTTCAGATTCGATCATCAAAACATTTTTTCAAAACTCAGTATTTTTAGATTAGGTTTCGAGTCAAAACATGTCAGGTCTATTTTGCGAACGTTAACAACACAATGATTAATCTGACACTTTGTGTGAGAGGTCCCCCTGTTATCATGTTTGGTACTGCTTTCGTTCCCAATTTGATTACAAATTGTGGGTTACAGAGTATAATTTTTTACTTTTTAAAAAAAATTTATTTACAAATTAGTACATCAATAAGATATAAAAATTACATATTAAAAAAGCACGTCAAAAATTCTACAAAACAAGAGATGACATGATCTTTTTATTTTATCAAATACTTAATGAATCGCGTAAACACAAGTTATATCGAAAGGAAAGAAAAAAAAATTGTAATCTATTTAAGGACGAATGAAGTAAAAAGAGGTATTTAGATCTACTCATTGCATTTTTTGATCTATTGAAAAAACTATGACATCTAAAATACACACAATCATTGGAAATGATATTTGTTGCAAACGATTTGGGTGAAAACTAAGTTGATAATACTAAAAATTTGATTTGTTTTAAAATGTAAGATGTACTCTAGTTTTCTTTAATATTGCTATAGTCACAAACAAAACACTAACAAAATACACAAACTTACCAAATATGCAAAATAATAGTTTCAAATAATGGTCAATCGCTAGAAATCTAAGCTTTTTTAAACCAACAATACAACAAAAAAATGTACTGAGTTATAAAAATAAAAGTTTCATTTCAATAGAAAAATATGGAGTAAATAAATTAGTACCATTGTGTAGAATCAGTTATTGTTCAATTTCACAAATGTCAAAATATTATTTTGGAATAAGATTTATTACCAGAATATCGATAATGGTAAAAAAGTAATTAGTGTCGCTCCTAAAAAATACTTAAAATTGGTATTATCCATAAAAACATTTAAAAAATACGGAGTATTTATTTATTTTCTATAAACAAATATTTTCTAAAAAATTTGTTAGGTAACCGTTAGCATTCTAATAGTAACCTAAAATTCACTCACATGGGAAAAGGTGAGATTATTTTCTGTGGCATTGAAAAAATGAAAAGTAAGATTAAGAACATGAAAAAATGGAATTATTTTAGATAATTTTTCTTTTATTTTTTTGCACGGTCTGAACATAAGTATGTTATTGTACCGTTCCATCTCAAAATAAAATGATATCGAATAGTTTTGGAATTCATGTCATACCGATAACGAACCATTTAAATAAAATCAAATCGTGAATAGTAATAGGTTATAATTGTATTACGGACCCTATTCGCGCTCAACATTTAAGAACAGTGCAAGGACAGAACGAATAATAAGCATACCTCAACCGCTTAAAGCATTAGCAATGATAAGGCAAAAATAAAATTTCACATGGTGACATGGAATATTCTAACTAATAAAAAATAATCTAGTCACCGTGTGCCAAGTGAGTGGAGTGTCATAACATACAGTGACATGTCATTGTTTTTGTCTATTTTTACACTTTTTTTTAATGATTTTTAACTATCAAAGGTTATTTTACACATCTATTTTATTATTAAAACATGTCTACTTCTTTTCAAAAATGTTTCTTTTAAAAATTTTAAAAATTAAAAATATTAAAAGAATAAAAAATAAGAGTCATGCATTGTAAATAGAATAAAAGTGGAATGGAATGACCATAAAATACCATATTTTGAATTGTATTTGCTGACATTGTCTCCCTATTGTGAATGCTCCTACCAAAATAAACTTTGGATGAGGGGACTGGACTAAGCTTTACAATTACCAGTATTATATCCAGAAAATTACTTACGGGTGACGAATTTTGTCGAAATAACTCTTTGGTCCCTCTATTTTCAAAAAGACAACTGAAGTTCTTATATTTTATTGTAATGACTGGGAGGAAACATTTCATCCAATATTTATCCATAAGTGTAAATAAATGTATTTTTTCCTATTTTTCCATTATCATTTTTTCCTATTTTGCAATTACTCGGTTTTTTCTTTTTTAGAAACTTTTTAATTTTATTTATTTTAATGTAATACAAATAATTTTGAATTTTTATACGATTTTATAGAAGAATTTCTAAAATAACACTTTAAAAAAGAGTAACAAAAAAAGAAAAACAAAGAAATAAAAAATGAGAGACCCGAGATTTATTACCTTAAAACATTTAGAAAAAATAAGAAAAATTACATTTATTGATATTTATGGATAAAATATTGGGTAGAATGTCTCCTTCTAGTCAATACAACAAAATGTAGGGACCTTTGTTATATTTTTGAAAATAGAAAGAACCAAGAGTTATTTCGAGAAAACTAGTGCGAGCAATTTTTTTGTATTATTTTTATATCCCGTATTCAGCCTTTTCACAAATATCCAAACACGGAATAAAACTATAAACAGAGTTTATGGGCTTTTCTTCCCTACAAACTTCAAACTGGATTACATGGGAGATGGAAATAGAGCTCAAATATATCACGAAAGACAGAGATTACAATTCTGCCTCCTACACACCCTCAATAATCTCTTTCAGGTATTTTTATAATTTTTAATCCCTCCTTAATATTCACTTTCCTTATATACATGTTCCCAATTCAGCAAACATTGAAGAAAATCATTGTATTCAGCAGAGCCCATTTCTCTGATTACTAGAAACAAATGATTTTTTTTTTCTTGAAACAATCTTGTCTCAATCTTGATCACAAAGACTTGAATTGGAAACAGTCTCTCTATACCCGATTAAGTAGAGTGTATCATATTCAGTTAAACCAATAATTAAATTTGATTTTGTGTCTATATGTTAAAAAGCCATGGATTTAATAAAAGAAGACTCTTTTATGGGACAAAGATAGCATAAAAGAGTGGTATATCTATTAAAAGTCTGGTTTAATTCAGGAGAAAGATGCATTTACCAGAGCTGATCTGAACTCCATTTCCGAAAGGCTGGGCCTTGATGATCCAAACAAGGGCAGTTGGTCCCCAATCTCTGCCATCTTCAAGTCTCACCACAACGCGATCACAGGAAATTATGACATAAATGTTTTAGTTGCAGCACTTGAAGGGAAAGGGAAGAGTGTGGTTTGGCATGACCGGCGAGTTGGGGCTGGTGCAATTGACCTCGACGGTGAAATGATGGGTATTATAGTAAATTTACCAGTCCGAAGGTTCGCTGGCCTATGGAGAAGCAGGCATTGGGTTGCGTTGAAAAGGATCGATGGGGTTTGGTACAATTTGGACAGTGATTTTTCTGCCCCTTGTGCCTTTAGGGACACAGAAGAGCTTAGGGAGTATTTGGATGGCATAATTTCTTCTGGTGCAGAAATTTTACTGGTTACTTGATGAGTGTGTGAATCTTTTGTGCTTAGGTTTTTGGAAAATTGTGGGTTATGAGATGGGGAATGTTTGGTTGTGTTGAATGTGGTTGAGAATTATCTTTAGCAACTTCTTGGTTTTGCTTTTATGTGGTCATGTTTTTGCCTCAATGCAGCAAACACACCCTCCTAGTAGCTGGGGCTTTACTCTTAGGTCTATTGGGTTTGTTGTTTTTGTTGCAACCAAACACGGAAAAAGAGTTTGGAGCAAAGTTTTGCAGAAAATTACTCGCAGGTGACGCGAGTTTTGTTGAAATAACTCTCAGGTCCCTCTATTTTCAAAAAGGCAGCAGAGGTCCTTACATTTTGTTGTAATGACTGAGAGGGGACATTTCATCCAATACATCATTCGTAAGTGTTAATAAATGTATTTTTTTCCTATTTTTTAAATACCGTTTTTCCTATTTTGCCATTATCTTGTTATTTCTTTTTTTAGAATTTTTTTATTTCATTTGTTTTAATATAATATAAACAATTTTGAATTTTTATATGATTTTATAGGAGAAATTTTAAAATAACACTTTAAAAAATAGTAACAAAATGAAAAAGGAGCGACCTAAGATTTATTATCTTAAAACATTTAGAAAAGAATAGGAAAAAATACATTTATTAACGTTTATAGATGAAATATTGGATGAAATGTCCCCTTCTGGTTATTACAACAAAATGTAAGGGCCTCTGCTGCCTTTTTGAAAATAGAGGGACCTGAGAGTTATTTCAACAAAACTGGCGTCACCCATTAGTAATTTTGTGAAAGTTTTGAAATATTATATTTTTCCAATATATTTATATATATGTAGAGATTAATAGTCAAAGTGTTACGTTAGAATTTGTCAAATTAAAAAAAAAAATAATTTATCAATAATTAGAGATGATAGTAGTCGTAACTCGTAAGAAGTGGAACTTGGGGTCCCACTGACTCTGATCCTCCGAAATGAGCGGGAAGGCGCACCTTTCTAGCTACAACATTCGAACGGACATCTTTAGCCATACATGAAAATAATCCCAAGAGAATTCTTTCTTGGTTTAGTTTCAGATGCTAATGAAAAAAACATCGAACCATTTCATGATAATAGCTTCATCGTCCAAAAATAATTGTACCTTTTGAGCAATTTGGTTTCAATGCATCCCCAGTTCGTTCCTTTAATTATATGATGATGAATTGATGATGATGATGATGTATAATATTGTTGGGGAAGCACGGAACAAAACATAACGGAAGCGTATAAAATCTTTTCCCCAAATTAATGAGATGAACAACAAAGCACAATATACTCCAAAAATCAGCACCACCACCACAAATAGATAGCAACGGAAATAAGATAAAGAACACACGATTTACGTGGAAACCCCAAATCGGGGAGAAAACCACGGCCGCTCAACAACGGCACCCAAACTTCCACTAATCACCAAGAACCAAGTGGGTACAACAAGTTCTCCTCTCTAGTAAACACTAGAGGCATACACAATCATCAAGGAGCAACCTTGGAACAACAACAATCAACAATTCAACATAAAATGGAGTAAAAACTCCCAAAAACGCAGGT